ATGCTTTTTTCATGTGTAGAAGTATGTTAGCTACCTAATAAAGTAATTTGTGTCAGAGTATCTCACAATTAAAATTTTGTTTCACTAGTGTGAGAAAGAACATCTTTATCCCTATAATCAGTGATATAAATTTGACAATAAAGTATAATAATAATGTATAGCAAGGACAAACCATTGACATATTAAAATTTAACGAGTTTCTTGGGTTTCTAGCATTTTAAGAACATTTCTATTTTATTTAAATATTTTTCAATATTTATCAATTTACTATGCAACTTTCATTCTTGAGTTCTTTAAAAGTAGTCTTGTCACTGAATCTGTCCTTTAGAAAACTAAACTGTTTTGTAATCAATGGTAAATATTGTTAAGGTGGTTTTGATAATCTTAGCTAGTGTATATAATTTAAAAAATTATAGTCTTTGATAATGCATGCTACTTTTAGAGACACTTTTGATTGTGAATACTTCAATCATTTCCTCTTTCTCCTGTCTTTTCATAAACATTTGGATATATAAGTACTTAGCAGATGCTTATGAAATGAGAATATGCGAATTTCAAGTCTGCATACATTTAAAAATTTAGAAAAATTAAGAAACCACAGAAGTAAAAGAAAATATTCTAATAGTGGTAGTTTTAGTTTCTCTTTAGTGTCTACATATGTTTCAACTTTATTATATAAAAGAATGTCTTTATATACAGAATCATTAGGCCATAGAGTTCCAATTAATATGAAAATAAATGACAAATTCAATAATTATATACCAGCCCAAATGTGAACTTAGAATACATTAACTTTAATCAATTTTCTTCATAGAATATATTGTGACTTCTTAACAGAATTGGCTTATCCACACTATCTTATCACATCAACCAAATGATGCACCTTTTTCATCAGCCAACTGCAATATACTTGATATTCTCTCCTGTTACATTTTGATAAATAAAATCTCATTTAAGTTTTCTAGTTGTGGTACTTAAAGTTATGTTATGGGTGGTGAACATGTTGTTCAGTAGTAAAGTTCAAGTTTATTTTTTGTTATATAGCAAGTTCCAGAGCAACTAGGGGTACATGAGATCCTTTTTGAGAGAGAGCGAGCGAGAGAGAGAGAGAGAGAGAGAGAATAAAAGTTTATATGTGATAGGAAAAATAATATATCTGTGTATCTATACAATATATAAATTGTATCTCTATGTAGATAAAATGCAAATCTGTTGGTGATTCTAGGCAAATCAGTATTTTAAGGAGACGAATGCAATGCCATAATATTTTGAAGTGGAAGTGCTTTCTGGTGCTTTTCCTGAAGTTGAAATTAGGGGGGTATTTGTTACAGACATTGCTGAAGAAGCAAACCTTCCCTTGGAGGCAGTTTTGAGCAAGAGTATAGCTCCTCACCTACTTCAAACAGTAGTGCAGTTTCAACAGTGAATTAACAGGGCCTTACTCTTGTGTCTTTGTGAAAAGCAAGAGTGACCTTGCTTGGGTTAGTTGATGTTGATGGGAATGCAAAGGGAAGTCTGTAAATTCTAAGGCTAATCTGACATTAAATGAAATTAAATAACCGTATTAATGCTTGTCCATATATTTCAAATAAACCCATTAGTAAAATATTGAGTAGATGTGTTTTAGCATTTTTGATAAATTAAATCCCATATTAGTGTCTTCCTCAACTTCCAAACAAAATTCCCATTACTGACAACTGGTGATCAAAAGTAAAGTCTAATGTCCATTTTCTTCCTAAGGATCTCATGCTTAATCAAGTCATAGGGCTAGACTTAAAAGAGATGACTTTCAAAACCTTTTTTTCATGCATCTAGCTTTCAGAAACATCAGCTTTTATTCAGAAGCACAGTGAATGCCTGAGGGAAAAACCCTAAAGCTTGCTAGTCATCTTCAATCATCTTGGGCTTTCTACATGAACAGTTATTTACTCACCACTTCATCAATGCCATCAATGCAAAGACAAGAAATAACTCGCTCTTTCCATAAGCCATGCACCATATGCACTCTCATGCTGTACTTTTTCATTTGATTTCACAGCTTGCTTTCCATTGCTTTCACCAATGCAGAGCATCTTTTTGTTTGGTTATTTTTCTTGTGTAACTAATGTAGTATATTATCTTTGCCAATGCAGACTGTATGGCTATGAATCAACCATTCTTGAAGACTTTACATTATCCAGAAATCATAATACTACAGACTACATTGACCACATGAGAGTACACTAGTAAAATAGTTTCGTCTCTTACAATTGAATGACCCAATTGGCCTTTATTTTCATTAGAAGCAAAGAGAATGCCATCATGAAGGAAATGAAAAGAAACATAAATGTTTAAAAAATAACCCATTATTTATGTTATATGGAACATTTGTTGTAAATCTTACTTTTTATTAAAATTAGATGAAAAAGATTTATATTTTCTAACAGTTTGGAATGCAGATATTGTATAGAAACACTCCTGGTTAGATTGGAGCAAATTTCATTTTCAATTCGATACTTTAGTCTTAATAGGCTTGGAATATGTTTACATGGCACCATAATTCTCAACTGCCTTCTAAGAAAGGAAATCAGTGGTATATCTTATATATTATAGGTAATTTGTCTATAACAGGACCACATATTAATTGCCATTTTGTTTTCAGATATAGCACATTGATTGAGTGATTGCCTAATGTATATTAAGATGCTAGATTTGATCCCCCCTACAAAAACAAAAATGCAATTCTCATCTTTAAAATCTTGCTAGTTAAATTTTTTTGCCACAATAATCAGCAATTCCACTTTATACTTTTGTTTGTGTATGATGTAATTAAATCTATAAATATTTGAAGGATACATTTTCTTAAATATTATAACCAAGGATGAAGCATCAGCACTAACATTCATTAGGATATACTGTTTGTCAATAAATATTGTTGATAGGTGGTCACTAAACTTGAATACTGAAGTGTCATTTGTATGGTAAATTATTTGATATATAGAAATGACTTGGCTAGTAATACAAAATCATAGTTTAAATTCGGTTTAAAAAATAAACATTTGCCTTTTGTTTATGTTTGTGAAATTGTTAGAAATTTAGTATGATACTTTTTAACTTACCTCAGTAGTGAATTACCAATACCCACAACCTTAAGCATCAGGATCATACTTTCCTTAATGTTGCAATATTTTCCTCAGAAGATAGATCACAGGTTATTACCATACTGCCGTTGAGATTAAGAATGGTCTTCCATCAAATTGGTTCTGTTATTACTTTGTAACTTAAAAGTCATATATATGGGATAAACTTTTTTTTCTTCCTTTACATTCTCATGCCAAAACTACCTTAGTGTGAGCATTAGAGCCCCAGCAGTATTATGGAAAAATATACTCTGATATAAAAATTAAAAATGATAAAAAAACTTGCAGAACATGCAGGTGAAATTAAAATTTTAAGTGGAAAGGTGGTGTGTAGTGTTAATATAAATTCTCACTAATATTTGTTTGCTATTGAAGATATAGTGACATTTCAACTGCATAATGGCTTTAAGTATGTAATAGTGAAAAACTATAGTTAGAATTTTCTAATTAGCAAATTTAACGGTATTAGATTCTTCTATGCTCAGTGAGAAGTGATTCACACAGCACATAGTTTACACATGAATGAAGAAATGTTGGTAGGAATAGAAAAATAGTAATTTTATTTTTTCTAGTAAATTGATATTTTATAAATATTTTAATTTTCTATGCTTGAATATTATCCAAACTGACATAAACAGACATACATTTAGACTTCTCAAATACCTCAGGATGTGAATTCTTTAGTGGAATATCTAGAAAGAATTTTTTAGAGTTGATTTCTCTGGGGTTATAATTGGATAATTTTGATTGAACAGACAACAATTAACCTTTTTTCTTACATAAAAGACAAGAGTTGGTAGAGTTTCCCCTTACAAAATACATTGCAAATAAGTTGTATTTTGGGAGAATTACATTTAAAAATTGATGAGAAAAGTATAACTTTTGTCATATTTTCATTCTCAACTTTTAACTCTTAAGTATCAAGAGATAGTACCACAATGTCATTTTTGCTAGAAATTTTTATTTCCTACCAGACTGTTAGAAATTAAAGCCATCTAGCATTCTACATGGTAGACTTGACTTTCACTAGATCACTGTAAGAGTTCAGTGAGCACAGCACAAACCCGGAGTCCTGAGGCTACAATCCATTTAAGCACATGAAGTTTTGTAAATGCACTGCACAGAAGCTGATCTATTGACTGAATAATTTCCATCTCCGCAATTTCTTTCTAATTGTCTGTTAGGCAGAGGTAATATTTTTGTCTGTATTAGTAGCTTATTATAGAATAATTAAATAACAAAAACTTTGACACTGTCATTTGAACAGAAAATTTAAGAAGAAAACATAGCCTTACATATGGTTAGAGAAAGTGTTTAATTGATTGATTCAGACCAAGGAAGAATCAGAACATCTAGAGCTACCAGATTTTGTGAGCCTTTAGGCAAACCAAGGCTACCTCATCTCTGGATATAAAAAAATTCATTGTCTGAATACTTCCCTCAGAAAATTAGAATACATAGTTGTCCATTCCTTTTGAAGGTGCTGGAAACCTTGTTGGGGTGACAACTATTTAGCCAGAGGCAGCAGACACCCAGTCAGATTTCTTTGAGGAAGAATGATTAATAGTGTGGTTACATTTTTTTCTTCGGAACATTATCAGAGAAGTGTACAATATATTCTGTTACTTGAGTTGACTTGTTATCGGATGTATCGTTGATTGACTGTTATGATTGTTTCTTGAAAGCTGTTCATGATACAGATTTTCTAGCTGATGTTTAGAAAGTTTAGACATATTCCAAGCAGCCCAGACTAGAAAAGTTAGAACTGTGGGTTTATCACTAACTTCTAGGTCTGTGCAGGAACATATTGCATGGGACAGGAATGTAATTTGTGAGAAATGTCTACACACAGGCTTTCATATACCTTTATTCTGTCTTTAGAATTTGGAATGATGGGAGATCATACAATTAAAAGTCAGCGACCTCGATCTGTCCATGAGAAAAGGGTCCCTCAGGAACAAGCTGACGCTGCTAAATTTATGGCACAAACTGGTAATACGTTAGTTACATTTTTCTATTTGTTGTTGTTAATTTAATGAAACCACTGCATGTTTTCATGATCCTTTGCTGCACATTTGTCAGTTTTGGAGCTTATTTTTTTGAGCTATTTTTTTTTGTCACCAGTTAAAGTCCATAAATAAAGTAGCTATGACTGAAAAGTACACAGAAAATGTGTAAGACTTGCTTTGCTCTTGGTATAGGACGCTTTAGGATTTACGTACTATTAATTCCTTAAGTTAATTAGCCACTAAAATGGATCATTACACTTTGAAAGGAAAGCAATAAAGTTACTTTTTTGAGAATTATTTGATTTGATACTTTCATTAACTATAATTTAAATAGGCCTAAGCTGATGAGATTCAATGGAACAAAATTTGATACATTAAATATGCTTCCATATGTTATAACATCTATAAATATTTCTTGGTGCTAAAATATATAGACATTAGAATTTTTATAATTTAATATACAATTTGGAAATAAATTTGTTGCAGTAGATAAATAGTAAATGTTAACCACCTATTTAAATACCAACAAAACTGACTTCTGGCTTATAAAATTCTTTAATCTTACATCCATCAAATTATTTCTGAACTCCCTACAAATTTGAGTGTGACTGAAAAGTGCATTATTTGACATAATTTTTGAAATTCATAGATATGATGAATATTTACACGCAGAATTGCAGAATTTATGCTTTAATAGTCTGTAGAGTTTGACAAATTGCAGTGGGCCATAATTTGGCTGCTTGAGTAAGAATTCTAAAGTTCTGGCCAGCAACATTGCCTGGGACTCTCTCAGTTGGAGATCTTTAAAGTGGTGTTGCAAACCTGACCAACCTTTCATTGCTTTTCTTTTTCAAAACTTGAAACTAAGCTTATCTGTGGTTTTACAAAATTTTATGCACTCGTTCTTGTTTGTTTTAGCATTAGTATGAAATCATGTGTATATAACCAGATCTGTGACATGCTATTCAGAGAATTTTAATGAAATTCTCCAAAAGAATGAATGCGTCCTTCAGTTTATGTATTCTTTGTGATAGTATTTGTTTAGAACACTATACGTTAGCTTAATGCTTAGAAATTCAAATATTAAAACAGAATTGAAATCTTGGTAATAGATAAATGATATATTTTAATATATTAATTAAAGCTCAGCTTCTCGTAACAGAATATGTAGAATTAATTTTGTAAGCACACAGTTTAAATTTTAAAAATAATATATGATATAGCTAGACCCAGAAATGAGAACTTTCTTTCCAGGATTTCTTTTGGTGTAACTTATTTAAGAGGAGATTTATATTTTAACCAGTTGCTTACTGAAGTCCAAAAATGTATTCTGTGGTTCAAGTGGATTTCCAAATTCCTAAATGTGCTTTTGTCTGATACTGTGAGCAGAATAATTGAAGCAGTGGCCAGAGATAAGGGGATTTCTACTCTTGATAGAGAGATATAATGCGGTCTGACCACTCAGTTCCGTAGGCATCCATCTCCCTGTGAGAACACATCTGCCGTCTGAGAAATATGTCCTTCTTTTACATAAAAGACATACCAAAGATTGGTTTATGTAAATTCCTGAAACTTGTCAACAAGGGGAGTGAAATGGAGAACCATAAGTTTAAGTATCCAGGGATCTAGTAGCTTTAGCTTGTGCATTTAGTATTGTCCAATTTAATCCAAAGTTTGTTTAAATTCCATTTATTAATGCTTGTTTACATTAAGACAATTCAAATATTTAAGGAAAACATTTTGACAAATGTAAATGTCATGAACTGTTGATTTGTGAAATTAGAAATTGGTAATCACATTTTTTACATTTATTTCTGATTTCCAGTCATTGTTTTTTTTTTTTCTACACAATGTATATTCTTTCACTAGCAAGTGACTTGGTTAAGTAGATGACATACTGATTAAATAAATCTGGGCCCAACTTTAAAACCACTTACACATATTGTTATCTTCTCAGAAAGACCATGCCATATTAAAGTTCTAGAACTATTGGGTGATGCTTGGATTTATAAGAAATAGGATCATAAATTCATTTTAAACCAAACATTGCATATGCAAGTGTAGACGTGTGCATTGTACATACTTTAATATTAAATTAACATGCTGAACTAAGAAAGGAAAATTCATTATAGTATCTTTAAGATTAATAATTGAAAACAGGGCACTTACATTACTAAAAGAGAATTTTTAAATAGTTTCTTTTAAAGTTAACATAGGCTAAATTAATAAAATTATCAAACAATAACATTTTACAAAATGATGTTTTATTTATAGAACTTGTCTTGTTTCAAATCAAGGTAATAATATTGCATACACACAGTCATGAAATTTTGCTAACCATAATTTGAGAACAAAAAATGATACAATGGAGGAAAGGTAAATAATAAAATTATAAAATGCCATAATATTCTATATTTATCATGGAAAAAGAAAGCAAAAGCCACCATGCCTTATTTCTTCTCAAATCAGTGAAGTGGCTTTCAAAATCAATGCAATCAGTAAATACGTTCATTTTTAAGAAAGCTTTACTAGACAGAGGCAGTGTGAGTGAGTACTTTTAAATGACATTCTTATGAGGCAACATTATTTTATCAGAATAACTAGAGGACTAGTGCGAATGCTAGTAACTGAGGCAAGTCTGAGCACTAATTAGGCTATTATAAAAGTATAAGATAAGGCTGGAGAAGTGTCTCTGTGCTTAAGAGCACTTACTGCTCTTGCAGGGGCCACATGTTAGGTTCTCATAATCCACATGGTGTTTCACAACCAGGTGTTATCTCCAGGTCTAGAGGATCCAACACTCTCTTCTGGCCACTCTGGGCACTGTATGAACATAGTACACATACATACATGGGCACTGTATGAACATAGTACACATACATACACGGAGCTGAAACCTAACACATACAGTAAAGTAGGATGAAAATCTAAGTTAGACATATATGTATGTGTATATACATACATATATATATGTATTTAAAGAAAATAAAATAAGATATAAATATGTCTGTTTAAGGGATAAACCCAAGCTAAGGGCAATAATCTAGAATAAGATAAATGTTAATGGTTCTTATATTCAGCATCATAGAAAGAAAGTTAGTTTATAAACAGGTTTAGAAAAGTAACCATTTATTACCCAAGGGAAACGACCTGCATTAGGAATACATGATATGTGATCTAAAATAGGAACATAACATTAAATGTGGTTCTAATTTCATGATTTTAACATGCTAGCAAAAGTTATATTAATATCTTGATCATAATTTTAAATTTTCTATTGCACGTGATCTCACTCAATTTTCACAAGTAGCTTTTGAGTTAGGTAAATTATTATAGAATTTCAAAATATAAATGGATTTTTCCAAGGACCCTCAGAGTCAATATGCAGTTGACTGCAATACTTTCCAGTTTCCATTCATAACTCATTCCAGGATAAAGAACCTCAATATTCACTTATAGAGAGTTGTCAACATGATTTTTGGCATGTTGACTAGATGAGTTTGTGCTATCTCCAAAGAAACATATACTGAAATGGTTGCTGAGTTCATGTTTTACTATTTCAGTGCATTAAAAGATCTTTCTTTTAAAGCATATTAACAGTTTCTAGCTTACCTCTATGTGCTCTAAGTTGTGATAACCCTCACAACTTAGGAAAAAAGGAAGTAGCATAAAAATTGCAATGACTATGTCACTTGAAAAAAAACACTTAAATACAACAAGATCAAGCTGATGGTTAGACCATTATTTCAGTGGCAAATTTTGATTCTACGTTTGAAATAAAATTTATTATTCATGTATTTATTTTTATTTAAATTGTCATCTGCAAAATGAGCTGCGAGGAATGCTTCTCTTAGCATTTATGATTTACACCTCATGACCCAGCCCACTGCTTCTCTTGCTCAGTGTCTTGCAGAATCATAGTCATAGAGCCAACTCAGGTTTCCAAATCCTTGTATGAGGTTATACTTTAAATTGGTCTTTGATATGAATTCATGGCTAAGTTCAATTTTTTAAAATTGCCTATCATTACAATGCAAGAGAGAAAGAAAAACTGTGTGGAAAAGTAGAACTAATTTTTTTCTCATAACCTTTGTCATCTCGCTTCCAGATTTTACATTAGTCTTAAGTATCTGGCTTGTAATTGATAACATAGAGCCGTAATAGTTATACTCAGTCTTATCACAAGCACATTGGCATGTCATTAAGCATACATTACTTTTTCCTAACTTTAAGCTTAATGTTTTCATTATTAAGTATGCTTATGTATGTATACACATATGTATAGATAGTTTTAACCATCATCATATTATTAGACTCACCAAATGATGGCTTTTGTTTTGTTAAATTATCATCAATGTAATAAAACAAATTATGAGATATAACTTCAAACACTACAGACATCCACTACAGACATGCAAGTAGATAATTATAAAATTAGCCATATATAAAGTTGTAAAGGTACAAATATTGAAGTGATCAAGAGAGTGCTATTACTGTAAACACAGATGAAACTTCAGTTTCAATATTTAAAAGAAGTTCTAATTAATGTGAGCTGACATCCAAATTACCAGCATGTGGCCTTCTGATAGATAATCAGTTATCAATGAATTGTTATCTATGCCTCTGCTGCATAATCTTAGACTAGCATAAGAACACATTTTTCATGATTCTGCTAACAAAGTTTTAATAGAACAGTATTTCTCTGCAAACTAGTTCTGAGCCCTCGTGAAAATAAGAAAGTGGATTGTAGCAGAATATAAAATCAACATCTTCATCAAATAGGTTTTCTAGCAGTGGACTAACTTTTTAGAGTAGATTTCTCACTGAAGAATGTCCGATGCAAACTCATTCTTTACTTCAGCAACAGTTAGTAAGTCAGCTACTTCATTAGCATTTAATATACCCCTAAATCATTGACTAACTCTCCAAAACAAGACAAACAATGGATTGAGATTTGTCCTTAGAATTATATTCCAAATGATTATTCTACACTGAACGCATGATATAGAGCTAAATTGCTTCTTGTCCTGTATAAATAGTGATAGAAAGTTCTGAGAAACCCCTCCCTTGTAAAAAGTTTTGACAACACCATACATACTTAGTATAAATACACACTGTAGGTAAGACTGGACTGGAGTTTGATGTAAGTCAGTATCAAAATTTCAAGTCAAGCTTTTAAATCCATTCTGGACATGATGCCAGAATAGTATTAGAAGCCTACTCCAGTGATTTTTCAAAAATTGATGTTTCCTGTCTCCTTATACATTGCTTTTAGATAACGAGAAAAGTGGGCGTAGTTTCAATGCAGTGCCAACCACTACAACGTTTATGAAACCCAACAGTAACTGGCTTCATAATTCCTGATTTTGAAGTAAATTTTAGTTCTATGTTCAGTTAATATAAATGAAAGAGAAGCTTTCATTCACCTGAAGTTAAAAAGTTACTTCTTTTGGTCAGGGGTGAAAGGGGGAGCAGAAGGATATTACAAATTACCAGAAAGTTAATAGCTAGCATAGGATGAAAGGGGAGGAAATCCATTTGGAGTAAATTATCAACTTGCTCACTCGCTTTCAAGCCCACTGAGTCTTTAGCAACAGGAAGGGCATTCTACTATGAATAACTAGGCAAGAACAGACAAAAACATTCCATCCAAAGCTTCAGAGTCTGAAGAAAAATAGGTTCTGCCCCTGTGGACATCAAATACAGGGACCGAGATAGGCTTGAAGAAAACATCAATTGTACTCACCGAAAACTATTGATTGCTTCATTCACAGTGTTGATAGTTCGACAGACTTGGCAAAGAATGGTTTTGTTAACAAGGTCATGAGAAGTAGGTGTTGTATCAGCATTGTCTACATCCCTCTACATTCATGTTCCTATGAAATGTTTTGTACCTTTGTATATACTGTCACATATTTACATTGGAATTATTCATGCATGTCACACCGTTAGTTTGCGACAATGATTACGAAATGAATAATCAAGACAGTATTTCATGTTTATTTGTTGTCTTGCATGCAGGTGAATCTGGTGTGGAAGAGTGGTCCCAGTGGAGCACATGCTCAGTTACTTGTGGTCAAGGGTCGCAGGTGCGAACCAGAACTTGTGTATCACCTTACGGGACACACTGCAGCGGCCCATTAAGAGAATCAAGGGTTTGCAATAACACTGCCCTCTGTCCAGGTAGTGTTAGCAGCAACTACGACTGTGGATGTTTTGAATTGTGTCGTGCTACGCATTTGGAACAATTTGTTATTTTCATATGAACGGGGTATAGGCTTTTTAAATGAGAGTCTCTAAGTGTTACTCTTCTCAACTGTGCTCTTTTATTCTGTATGTAATTATGTCTGCTTTCAGAGCAGTTTGGGTGTTAGATGAGTAACTATCTCCCTAATGCAAATAAGATTGAAATTTTGTAGCTATTTTAAAGAGTATAAAAATTCAGTTATTTTTTTTGCATTTTTGGTTGTTAAAAAATCTAACTGCCTATGAGGAAATAAAAATTTCAAGCATAGTAGAAATATGACATATGATTGACAGCTTTTCAGTAATCTGTTCTCCTACCATTCAACTGATCATATAAGAAAGAGAAATAATAATAAGTGTAGTGGGAACTAAGAATAGTCTTTTATTTTCCTTTATAAATAACCTTGAAGTGGTTGTTCTCACCACATCCACTTATTGCTTTAAAACAAAGACAGGGGTCTGGTTAGGGTAAAAGTATGTTACATCAAAATTGTGCTATTTCATGATGTACATGGGCTTATTGTAGTTTTTTCACCCTCTCAAAGCAAAGAGGCCTTTTCTCAGTCAGTACCAAGGCATGTGTTGATGGTGTGCCCAATCATTTGTTGATCGGGTAACTGGAAACTTCATGACAGCAGCAGTTAAAACTAGGCTCTCATAGACTTTCCAGAAGCCTCTGAAAAGGAGATGTTCTAAAGAAAGGACTTAACACTGTAGGCCTTGTAACCTCCAAGTCATGCTTAAACATTTTCTAGGGCTCTCCAGTCCCAGAGTTAACTGATTCTCAGTTAATAAAAACAAGAGTGAGGGGCCTAAAAGAATGATCAAAAATAATGCCAATTTCCTAGCAGAACAGACAAATGTAATCATGTGAGAAATGTTGGCATGGCTGTTGTTTGGTGGATATAAATCTTCACATTTGCAGGATTAGACATTTCTGGTGATCTTCTTGACTGCTACATGAATATTCTCAACACTGCTGAATTCTACATTTAAAATGGTTTCCATGGAAAATTTTAGGCTATGTAGGTTTTTGATTTAAAAAACAAATAAAGATCTATTTCATATTAAAGAGAAAAACAAAAAAGTAACAAGAGATATCAAAGATGATGCAGTGAGGTGTGAGAACATTTTGTATAAAACAGAGAAAACAATAAATGAGGACAAGGTTAAACAGATAGAAACTAAGGCTATGAGAAAAAGAAGGCACATTAATCAATAGGACAATAATTGCCACTGAAGGAAAGTAGGAGTCAGTTGGGACTGCAAGATAGGAGAAAGAATTTGTAATAAAAAATAGTACAGATCAAAGGTGAACAATGTAAGGGAGTCATAAATAAGAGAGATGAGAGAAGACTTAAAGCAGAGATCATAGACCAAACACATTTCAATTACGTGAGCTGGGGGTGGGGGTGGGGGAAAGCAAGGGAGATACAGTCTTGGCGGGTCATGCCGAAACCTTCAGATCCCAAGTGTAAATGCTGTGGATCCTTATTTGGGTAGGATAGGATTGGTTCTTCTGGGAGATACTTAACCATGATGCCTAACCACAGTATTTACATGATGACTTACAGGGTTGAGTTCCCTGTTCTCATCAATTAAAACAGTATCATCAGAGCATTATGATACAATGACTATATAAATTTAACTTCTTAGTGTGTACTTAGTGTCAAGATCATTTGCACATAACAAGGACAGAAGCTAATGACAAACATATTCCTAGGTGGGAATCTGATTGGTTTCCAATGTGATTTCCACCATTCATAGCTTACGTGCTAGTCACTGGTTACACACATGTGCGAGGTTCACATATGGTAGGTAGTCTTCATCCTCTACCAGAAGGGATGATTTGCCCTTTAATTGGGAGATGAGCACATCGGTGGCAGGACTCAAATCTCCCCCATATGTGGTATTAATGAGTTCTCTCTCCATGTGTCTCATGTCAAGCAAGCTGAGTAATATGCCCTTGATAGCTTTTTTTGATTTCTTTAAACTCTTACCCTTCATGTGTAAGACTGTGAAGTTTTGAATCTCTCTTTCATCTTCATGCATATAAACTATTTCTCTCTAAATTTTTGTTTTTATTGCTCACAAGAAAAGTATATCATTGTTATATTTTAATGATTTGTTTGTCAAATTGATGATCAGTTTTATTTTTATTTCAGGATGTATTATTTTAAAGTATCAAAGAAATACATAGTTATAAGAAATAGGAGTTTATTTCATATGCTGTCTTTTAAAAAATTTACCATATTGGTAAATGTTATTTTTATTATGGTATATCTTGAAAACAGTAAAAAATGAAGAGCAAATCTTTAAATGGTTTAAAATTTAAGAAGTATTTCCATCAATATGAGCATCTTTATAAAAACAAATCAATACCTGACCTTGTGATTCTAGGGATTTCTAATTTTTGTGTTATTTTATTAATGAACATGAGACAAGAAAAGGACACATTGACTATTAAATTAACTCTTTAAAAAATGTGTGGAACAAGAACATTTGAGCTTACATTTTTTTGTACCATGAAGGAAACTCGACAATATGATAGTGACTTACTTTTCATTCATTCACAAATTCTTTTTATTCAGATCCACTAATACATATATATACTGGACCTTTTGCAAGTTACTTGCTCTGACAATTCTTTTTCATTTTGAATGTTTATTATTATTATTATTATTATTATTATTATTATTATTATTCAGAATATATTTCATATACTTAGATTGGGAAAGTTAAAGAGCAACTGTCGATTATCTAGTTACTGTCCCAGCTGAATTTCAGCTCTGTGTTCCACTCTACAACTCTCAACCTCTGTTGATTGAACACCAGCATTTTGCACCTGATTAAGTCTTTGTTTCAAGGGAGCCACACTGCTCATTTCTGTGCTTAGCAGCCTCCTGGCTTCTACCCACTTAATGCCAGTAGCACTTCTTTTCCTTACAAACTGATGCAACCCAAACTGTATGTGGATATCAGCAAACACCCATGTGGGTGGGATTATCCCCAGCTGATAATCGCTGATCTGCACTGTACACAACTGCGTCAGTAGAACTTAGTATAGGCTACAAAATGGTTTGGGATCTTTCTCTTAAGGAATGTCAAAGTCGTCATGTTCATTTATTTCTAGAGTAAAACTCTTACCCTTAAAATGATTATTTTATATATAATGCAATCTAAATCATATGAACATTTGCAGATATTTATTCCAAACCCTGGTAAAAATGTTTTGTGTGTTGTATATATTTTATTTTCTCTTTGGCTTGTACAAAGTACAGATACGGCAATATAACTGGTACCAAGGTCAAGAAGAAAACTAAAAAAAAGGAGATGAAATTGATGTAAATCAAATCACTTTAATATTACTATATTTCAAGTTCACTAGATAATTTTCATGAATTTTTGCATTTACTATAAAATAAAAGATATTATATAGCAATTTCACATTAAATTGAAAACTTGAACTTAACATACATTTTATGAATAACCTCTCTAATATAAATCTTACATTGTCTAAATATGTGCTAGGTGCTATAATATTTTGACAACTCAATAGTCTCTAAAAGTGACAAATTATTAATAATTTCTTGTTACATAAGAAATTAGCAACTTAAATGAAGTGACTGAATCACAAAACCTGAACATATGACAATAAAGACTATTAGAATGTCTAAATAGCATTAATTTTCTGATTTCAGCGTCATGATTTACCTAAGCTGCTAAGATTCCTTGTCAGTTTTTGTTGTTCTCAAAGAAAAAATTGCCAATTTATAAGTTTAATATCTTCTAGCATTGTGTTATGTACATTGAGTACTATAGTAATTTGACAAAAGATTATACAATGTACTGAACACTTTACATAGTGGAGAAGGTTCTCATCAGTTTGAAAAGTATGACAACAAGAAATAAGTACAAAAATTGATAAAATATGTCTAAAAATAAAATATATTTATATAAATTACTTGGAGAAATCTTATGATTGATGTTTATATAGATGTGTGCACATATAAACATATTTTAAAAAGTACATAACACTTGTGTGTACATTGCTAAATGGAAATAGTAGATATTCTGTTATCAGTAGATACTAATTAGCTTTGATTTTTCCAGATTTTATGAGGTAGGTGAAAAAAATTAGCTTGTCACCTCGTTCTGGTACTTTTCCTAAGTATTGCTTTTAAAAACCTTTCCAGTGACTTCCATGCACTTAGTCAATGACTTGCAGTGAATTATACTCTAATTGCACTGCTGTTCTCAACGTTTGAACATATTTTCACAACTTTCTGCAGCAAGGCAACAACATAAGTGGAAGAAAATGGTATACCGCAACATAAAAGTGTTATTTTGGGGAAATGCTTTTGAGATTTATTCAGATTATTTCAATTACCATGCAAAATTGTGTGTTAATGTGTACTTTGTGATGTTTTGAGGTATATATACTTACATCATGTTACACTGTGACATGATGAAGCATTAACATAGTTTGCAAAACTATATAACATTCTTTAAAGACCATAAAAGAGCAGATATTAAGTACTTTAACCACAAAACTAATAACAGTCTGTGTTAATGCACTGGCTAATTACCTAGATTTCAGCTTTAAGGTAACAATATGAAGAAAATTCTAGAAATATTGCATTTGTTTGGAAGGTACATTTGCCACTTTCTCTCGACTTGTGTGTACCTACCAGTTGGAGGAGGAAACTGAATCTACTTCTGCCATTTTTTTTGTGGGTCTATACTCCCTACTCGCAGGAGTGACCCCAACAATTTGTGCTCAAGACAGTGTCAGAGTTCTAAGACTCTGTGTCAAGACAGAAGGTTCTCAAGAGTACATTCTTCCTGGCCTCTCTGAACATGCTTTATGTGTAAGGTAAATACCCTAGGGTTAATAATTAGGATGAGAGCAGTAATTTTGACATTCAGAGAAAGGATTTAATCCTTAAGTCCAGTGAACTTGTGTAAACTATACCAGTATTTTTTACACAGCATTCACTACTCATTCTGAAGAAACACATAGTATTGCTTCCATTCAAGTTTGATGTAAGGAAAATGGGATATTTGAAGCATTGGTATTTCCATGGTTACTTTAATTCTATTTTTATATAATTTGGTTTTGTTGTTGTTGTTTTGGAACTATAATTAGGAAAGTTTCGCGTTTCATCAAACTGTCAGAGGAGGGAGGTAATCTTCTAGCCCTATGGCTTTCAGAAACAGAATGTGCCTAACTTGACCTGGGGAAGGGGAGGATGCTACCAGAGAAGATCCAGAGGTTCAAATAGAATCCGACTCAAAAGATGATGAATTTACCTCCAAAATTTTAGATGAGAAAAATATTTTAAGTGCTAGTTTAAAAATTTTTAAATATATACAACCAATTTTCAGGAACACTATTTTTCTTATTTTCTAACACATAATGTTTCTGCAACTTCATAGGTATTAGAATTGAATTGATCATTAGCTATTTAAAACAAATTTAACTTTGAAAGTTCAGTTCTGGTAAGAGAAAATTAGTTTTCCTTATTCTTCATAGGTGACCAGGCTTTAGAATAGCTCATGAATATTTTATTGCGAGAAAGAAAGGAAATTTCCATTTAAAGATGTTAAAAAGGGAATAGTTTAAATATTTGATTCAACTGTAGAATAAAAAGCACATAGAATTTTAGTATTTTAATAAATTTAAAAGTTAAATAAAAGTTTATGTCTGATTAGAGTTTTATTGAAAGTGAGTTTTCAAAATAACCTCATATTTTATTCATTGATATCTTTTCTTAATTATACAGAAAGAAGTCTGTGACTTTGATTCTTTTCTTTGTGGCTGAAGCTCCTTTGCTTTATTACAGTACATGGAGTTTGGGAGGAATGGTCACCATGGAGCTTATGCTCGTTTACATGTGGCCGAGGCCAAAGAACACGAACCAGGTCATGCACACCTCCTCAGTATGGAGGGAGGCCCTGTGAAGGCCCTGAGACGCATCACAAGCCTTGTAATATTGCGCTCTGTCCAGGTAAGCATAGTTGGCACTTGTTGAAGCTTGCATTAATGTACTTCATGTATTGCACTTGGTGTCCGTGACATATGGAAAGCATACAGCTCCTATCAAGCCTTGCTGAAAAAAAAAATGTTTTCTCTAATTACTCTCTCCTTTGTGGATGAAACGGGATCTTTTTCTTGGTTCCTGTGTTTGTAGTGATATACGTCTTCTTGAGTGGTACTGACTCGAGTTCATCTTTTCTAAATTTCTTTATGTGTGTACATTACTATTTTAAAAATAAAGGCTTATTTGTACAGAGCTGTCCATTGGGAAGGATGACAAAGAGTTCCCGGGTCTTGAGTTGAGTTGTTACCTTCAGACACAGCTATCAAAACTTATTTTAGAATTGTTTCTCCTCATGTTGTTCTTTACAGTCATTCAGGCAAGGAAGGGAACTTGTCACTGATCACATAAGAACAATGCCAATATTTTCTGAGAAATATCATAAGACAGTATATATAATCTTCCTTCAAGTGTATTTTTATCATCTTAACATTTTCCTTTTGCCTAATACTCCAGTTCTGCATCATCTAACTTTGATAATTCTTCCCATAGTCCCAGAGCCTCCATAATATTATCATTTACATTATTCAAACATCAAGCAAATAGTTAGTGCATCAAGAATAAGAAATTCTAACCTCTGGTTCCAGTGTGTTCAAAATTTAGGGAAAAATTGTATGTTCATAAATGTTAGAATCCAGGAAGCTATAGCCAAGACTGTGAATGGCAAATGGCTAACAAAAATATCAAAAGACAGTGTTTAAAACAAAGATTCCTCCTTTGTTCTTTGGACGGCTTCTTGTTAGAACAGTTCATAAACTACTCTGTATGAAAACAACATGGTGCAACTCCTACGGGGACTTTTCTATAAATGTAATTTCCAACACAGAGCCGGGTCCATCTATTCTCTTAATTATGCAAGTCAGTGCCCTTTGTTATAAGGCGATCCTTTAATGTTCTAGAAATTATATGACATGATGGAGACCACTAGAAGTCAGAGGGAAATAGTGGTAAATGGATACAGAATATAATGTTACGTGTATGAATTTTTCAAAGAAAGAATAAAAATGTTCTCTAAAAATAAATAAGATTTTTACGTAGTTCTGTGTATAATTTTATGAGTTCCATGAATTTTGGAAGTATGCACATAAGTAGTAATTCAATTATTAATCCTAGGGCTCAAAAAAATCGTAATTTGTTATTTGTAAATCACTCCCAGAAAATCCATGCATGATATCATTTGTTTTCCTCCCATCTCTAGGTACATACCTCACACAGACACATGCAATTATCTGAACACTTCTCTCTTTCTTAAGTTTTCAAAGCTTTTCAACCCTTTTCCAAGGTCCCCATGCTCCCAATTTACTCAGAAGATCTTGTCTTTTTCTACTTTCCATGTAGATTAGATCTATGTTTGTCTCTCTTAGGGTCCTAATTGTTGTCTAAGCGCTCTGGGATTGTGATTTTAAGAAATGTTCCTAAACTTTCTAAGATACTGTAAGTGTGACATATAATGGTAATCAAATAATGAAATATTTTTCACTTATGTATTTTGATAAACAGCTAAAAGTGATTAATATTCCATCAGATTCTTCCCTCAGGCAAGGCCCGGTTTCTTTCACATCTTTTGAGTCGGGAAAGCGTTTTTCCTGACATCGAAACGAAAAGGGAAGAAAGGAAAAAGAAGTTACGGCACTCTTGCTTTATTTCGTTGTTAGTTGCTGTCTTGGTTTCTTTCCATTGCTGCTGTGGCAGAATACTATGACAAAAGCAACTTAAAGGACTAAGGGTTATTTCGGCTCCCAGTTCAAGGGCAGGAAGTCAAGGCACCAGGGATTTAAAGCATCTAGTCAATTGCATGGAGTCCTGAAGCAGAGTGGAGTCAATGAATGCTTGGCAGTTCTCAGGTTGCTTTCTTCTCTTTATACAGTCTGATATCCCAGGACGACAAAAAATCATCCTGACAATAATTAAGGTGGGCCTTCCCACACCAATTAATGCAATCAGGTAGTCCCTCAGAGGCATACTCAAAAACTAACCTTAATCTAAGTAATCATTCGCAGGTATGCTCTGAGGTTTGTCTCCCAGGTGACTGCAGATTCTGTCAGGCTGACAATTAACACCATCACCCTTACCACATTAATATCTTGTCCGAGAACAGGGACTGCTGTTGATGGGAGATGTGTAGATGCCTAGAGCAACAGAAGGGATCAGCTCGTTCAGAGTTGTTATGGAAAGCTGCGTGCTTAGACTTAGTGTTTAATTGTCTTTGTGGTCTATCTTTCTTATAGTAACAAACCTAGAACATAGCCCATCTTACTTTGTTTTGGTTGCTGTTTTCTCTGAAATTTTAATTGTTGTAAGGAATTGAGCATTTAATCCATGGTAGTGACCACTGCTATATTGAAAGGAATATTCAATTTCCTTCTTATTTAAGCAACTTGTTTCCTGGTATTTCTCCAACAAATTACAGTGGATGTATATTCTTTTTATATGTATACATAAATGTGTGTGCTTAACATATATATATATATATATATATATATTTCTAAGTCTCGCTCCAATTTCTAGTTATATTTTTTTACACTTGTTTCCTTATCTTCCTGTGATGTGGTGATAGGATTTTGTACTTTCATAAGGACATATTTAATTTTATGAGTCTTTTTTATTTTTTTTACTGTAATTCTTACTCTCTGAGACTTGTCAATGAGACCTTTTAGAGAGAATTAGGAAGGGCTTATTCAGGGATTTGGGCTTGTGTATTATGTAATTTGGTGAGATTTTAATGCTGTTCTGGATTGGATGTTAGGATTGTATATGATTGGGTGTCATGCACATTAGGTAATGAAAAGGGAAGATTTTCTCTAATTGGTAAAGAAGTACCAGTCATTCGTGTTCGTTGAGAAATGCATATTTTGTAGTGTGGGTGGTTATACTTTTTTAATAACCTTGCTTTGTACACGGAAGTAAACATATCTCACAGTAATATTCTATGCATTGGGTAGCTCCAGGAGTGATAACACAGCCTACCTCCAAGCATTGGTGGGATGTCAATAATGGTAGGATCTAACTATGTCAAATCCATCTTTGGATGGCCCTGTTATTCGAACTTCTCCTATGGGCAAAAGCTTGTTATTAGTGGTTTTGGCTTTTATTGACTTTAGCTACATAATTATGTCAGATGTGATATATATTCATTTATCTTGTATATCCAATATGAAAATGATAGAAGTTGATAACCTCAAAATAAAATCGCTTCCCTTGAAATTAAGAAATCTCATAAAATCTTAAATTTTTAACTCACAACCTCAATATTAATAGGCATATAATTTGCTTTATATATAATATTCCCCTATTAGCAGTTGAGGATGAGAGGAACTAGTTATTGAAAATTACCCTCGTTTTTGTTTCAGCTTTGGCATTTCTCAATTAGAAATATATTCAGGTACCAAAGTATAAATAAAATAATAGATCAAGAGTAACTAATATGAGAGTGACAGATAGGAGACCAGATTACCTGAAATATCTCTATATCAAAAATCTATCCCTAAACACATTTGATATATTCTATATAATAAATATATCATATATATCTAAATACTCATGTATATACTATATAAAAACAAATTTAATTGTATACTTTAGTGGGAAACAAAATTATACAATTAAATATGGTGTGGAAGCCAGAACACCTACAGCTCCAATTCTTAATTATTGATGTTTATTCATACAACTTATTATTGCCTTTACCATTCTTCATTTTTCAAAATTATAAATTGAGCCCAGCAGCTATATGACAGGAATGATCTGATGAATAGAAACACTAAAAAAAGTATAAAATGAGACAAAGTGGAAGATATTTTTACAAGATTTGCATAAGTATATTCCTTTAATATTAGGGTCCTTTGAAGGATAGCAGTCAAATAAACCCAAGGTGTAATATTTGAGCTCTGTAGCTTTATCTTAGAGTCAAAGAGAATCTTCTTCCAGGCATCTACTACAAGTGAGTACCAAATATCTGTGCCTGTCTGTGGGCCTGAAGTGTCCTTCTGCTCTCCTGTTCCAGAAAAGCATTCCGGTGAAGCCAGACTCCCCACAGTGCAGAAGGTCCCCAGGTCTAGTTTCCTGGCACATCTGCATATTTTTACAAATCCTGCTAGGGAGCAAATTGTATACAAAGCATAGTTGCCTCAGAACAACTCTGTTTCAGTGTCCTGCTGACCTAATGTTTTGATCCTCAGCATTCATGGGCGAGTAGCCTGCCTGTCCCTCTGCGGGGAGCCCTTCTGGCGACACAATGAGTCAGGCAATGCTAAGCACTTGTGTGCACTGGGTTCAAAGGTCTGCAGCTCCCTCTGCATGAGGATGTTAGCATTTGACATTAATTGCTGCCCCATTGACCTCTTTATTTTTTAATTAACTTATATTCGTTTCAATATTCTGATCTGTTTCATGGTGATGAGGTTTGTTTTACACCATTTTGGATTTTAACACTATTCCAGTTATCTTTAAGTCCTTATAAAATTTTTCTAGCAGTTGTACACTATTTGTATAAGGGTTTTCGTTTTATTACAACTTTTTGTCATTTCAACTCCCTCCCTATCAGACTCACAGACTCACTCTCTTATATATATATATATGCATTTCCAGCTTCTAAAAATAATATTTTATTAGATTCTTCTTTGATTATACTCCATTTTAAAATAGCAAATAGGAAGCACAGAGTTTTTTTTTTTTTTTCTTTTTCTGTTCATTTCCAAGGCAAGAAGTCAGGCTTTTTTCAAACATTTGAGCCTTGTGTTATGAAAGGATCTTTCAGATTTCTGGGTGACTCCTAACTGAATGCAAATCTGAGCTCCCTGGCTTTTCCATCATTAAATCAGACAGCTTTACAACCAGATGCCAGGATTCTTCTGCTCACAAGTGCTCTCTTGTCCCATTTACTCATTCAGCAATATTCAAATAGAATCACT